GCTTTTAAAGCTACCCTACTCTTAACCACTTTCAACAATGTTTGCTGGTTGCAAACTCCCAGAAGCCATCCAAAGCTCAATCCTCTACCCAACTATCAGCCAAAAGATGCCCAAACTGCCTTCTTGGCCCGCTATTCTGAGTCAGGTAGCCTGACACAATACGACCAGTGGCCCATTACAGACCCTGCTTGGTGCCTCTTTGGCTGGTAGAAGGAGCAGGGTCTGTGGTAGAGACTCACGGACATCTACCAGGCAGGCATTTGAAAGCGAATTCAGGATAAAACCAACAGATCCTCTTCTTCCCCAAGAGTACTTTTTCCTTTAGATCACACAACAGGAACTTAAAGTGCTCAGCCAAAATCCCCAATAGGAAACATAAATCTCTAGAACATTTTAATGACATTAATATCTCCCAAATGCCTAAAAATATTTCTTTAAAATGAGTTAAGAGAAAATGCCCTTCTCATTCATAAAGCCCAAGCACTCAAAAGTCCTAGAGGTGACCTCCCTGACCCAGAAAATAATAAATTAAGAACTCAACTGTTTTTTTTTTTTTTTCTCTTTCCAACTATAGTCTTCCTCTGTGGTGAATAAATTAAAAAGAGCCAGCCCATCCATGGCAACTATGTGCAGAGGCCTGAATTGCTTCCAAAAGTGGGTTGGTAGGCTTGGGAGGAGTCACAGTATGGGACGCGGACATCCTCATGGTCCCATCCCTAAAAGGTCTCAGCATTTGCTATTTTGTATTCACTGATCTGGGTTTCCTGCAGCTGTTTCTAAAGAACACAGTGTTCAGCCCCCTCCCCAAAACTGATGCTGTCCAAGAGGTGTGACAGCTTGGAGGCCCTTAAGAAAAAGATGCCAAGGGTGACACAGGGCATCTTTCCGTCCAGTGGTAATGGGAGCAAGAACCTTCTCTACCTTGCAGGTCAGCTTTGGTCAACGCAACTTTGTTAGCAGAAGAACAGAAAAGGCGAAAACAATAACCAGAGGTTAGTAAGAGGTGGAGTCAACCAGGGGAACATTACAGAAATGAAAATAACAATCGGCATAACCAACATCACTCAAACACTTCAAATGCTCTATGGGCTCTCCAGAGACAGCACAGATGGGGGATGCGGGGACCCGGGCAGAGCAGGCCTCGTCAGAGCCACATCAGCAGAGCGGGGGGCAGGAAAACACTGGACTTGACAAAGCACAAGCAGGGGTAACAAGAGCCCTCCCACATCCACACAGCCAACCCCAAGGCACGTGGTCCAGGAAAATGATTCTCCATGAGTCAGGATAAGCATCACGAAATAAGGAAGAGTGCGTTGCCAGACTGGAAGACACGTGTGCACAGCCAGACCAAGCCCGCAAAAAAATAATTCTGCACATCTAGGAGTTAAAGATGGAAGAGTCAGTTGCTTGGGAGCCTTCCTGGGAACCCCCTGAAAATGCCACCAGGGAACGTGGCACTCGAACCGTGTCTGCGTCAACATGATTTGGGAACTCCAGAAAGCTCAATTTGTTTGATTGGTAACAATGAAGCCAAACCCAAATGGCTGTGAGCAAAAAGGACCCAAACCAGTGTCCTTTTTATTTATTCATGCCAGTCTCGAAATGAAGCACGTGTGTTTCTCTCAGATGGGTACCATCTGCAATTGCGGAATCGCGTTTCCAGCCAACCCATGCCTTGGTCTCTGTAGCAAAGCTGGCCTCAAGACAGAAAGAGATATTTACCAGCTGAGAATAGAACCAGACAGCATTTCAAAATTCCTAGCCCAAACTGAGAGGCTGCCAGTCACAGCTAGATGTTGGCTAGGGTGTCCAGAAATTGTGCTTAATTTCTGAAGTTATTATACTCTGCATAAAAATTAAAACATGGTTGGAAGTTTTTTCTTTCTTTCTTTCTTAGCATAAACAATTGGGAGACAAAGTCATAGATTAATACATTTTTAAAATAATTTTGGACTCTTTGCCCTTCGATAAGAAAGGGAAAGTAGTACATTTACTACTTGGAGATCTTGAAATATCGTCATCAATAACTCTGATAAGAACATATGATACATCCTGGCCTGTGTACCCCAGATAGCGAGAATAGAACACATTTACCATCTCGAAGGGATGTACCTATTAGTTTTTGGTAATGGGTCCTCATTCCCTACCTGTCCATTATTCTATATATAGAAATGATAAATCGGAAATGTATTCCATTTCCTGGGATTTCCATTCCGCACAATACTCAAAGGCTTTCTTGAGGGTCCCATACTATGTACAGAGATTCAGAATGAGAAGGACACCTGTCTGCAGTCTCTCGAAGGTTCTGTGCTCTTCATTTCCCTCCTCGCCATCTACTTCAGCTTCATTTCCACAGAGCCCTAAAAGGCTCCCGGGATCTCTTATAAGGGCTTATTCACATGGTGTAAACTTCCAATGACAGTAATTTATGCCTTAACCCACTTTTTGGCCATTTTTCCTGGCCACTTAGGCTAATTATCCAAGTCATCTGTGTACAATAAACAAGGACCTCCTTCCCTCCTCACTCGTCCTCCACTTCATCCCACCCAGTGGGGTGGTCATAATGCTCCGTGGGTAATCATTGCAATTATCTCCATGGCAATAGAGTGCACGGTTATTAGGCTCATGGGACTCACCATAGATTCGAATGGAAGGAGCATCAAGTTCCAATATCCGGGGCTGAACAATCACCCATACTCAGAGCAAGGTCGGACCCCCTCTATAATGCATGTGATGAGTCACACCAAGCCGCACACAGAGATGGAGGTAGGGATGGGACCATTTTCCCCAATTTGATGGGTAATTTCCTTGTGCTAATGCTCTCACTGCTTCTCTTCAAGTTCTCTTAAGTGGACTCCATAATCCCCTCTTCTGAAGTTCTATCTCCAACAGTTCTAGCTCCTTATAGCCCAACTTTTAATTCTCTGTAGAACTCTGCTTCTGATGCAGCAGGCCACAGACCCATGCAGCTCCTGAGACCAGAAAGGTATACAGTCTGAATTGAGGTGTGCTACGAGTACAAAACACACACTCAGTTCTAAAGGCTTAGCGTGAAAAAAAAAAGAATGTGAAATGTTTTGTTGATAATTTTATATCATTGCATGCTGAAATGATAATATTTTGGATATACCTGGTTTAGTGAAATGTAAAATGAAAATTAACTTTACATGTTCCTTTCTATCTTTGTTACTTGTAGCTAGTATACTAGGAGATTTAAAATTACATACATGACTCACATTATATTTCTATCAAGCAACATGGCTATAGAGTTAAATGGGTAATTCCCATTAATTTGTAAATCTGGAAAACGGATGACATGATAAGAATATTTCACATCTCAAGAGTACTTTATGCTTTTTAACGCATGCTTTTGAGTTTTAACTCAATCTTATTAATTATTGCAGGATAACTGAAATTTGTCTTTCCACAATCTTTGAAATGGAGATATTCGATTTAATTCCCACATGTTACATTTATTTCAGCACTGCCCTCAATGCCTGAAAGAAGTAAGAGCAAGCCAAGGAGACAAAAATTCTTGATTTGAACGACAGAGTGCATTTCCAGGAAAAGAAAGCAAAGAGGCTCCTTTAAGTGAACGCTGATTTGGAGCCTCCAGTCCTCCCATGTACACAGACCGTATCTGGCCCACTGGTTAAAGACAGACTCCCGGTTAAAGGCAAACTGGAGTGGCTTACAGAAACAGCCAGTCTTACTTCTAGTCCCTGTGGGAAGCTGACTCTTAGGCAAAGGGAAATGACTTCCACACTGCACATCAGCTTCTGAAGCTGCCAGGAAGCCTTTATAAAAATGTGCAAGCGAACCCAGGTGAAAGCTGGTCAAGAATGGGGGCAAAACGTGAAGTTAAATACTTAGGAGGTGAGTGAATGCGTCCGGTGCAGTAAATCAATGGGATAGAAAAAAACGAAACGGGTAAATTGCACAGAGGACCATGAGGCTCAACCAGACAAAGGAATGCATAGATTCTGCTGACTGGTCAGACACCTTTGACTTCCAAGCTAGGGAAGGGTCACGGGCTTGACCTACCCAGACCCCAGGGGAAAGCCTGAAAACTGCTCACTGCTGCCCTCTGCTGGCTAAACTAGATGGTTTTTGTTGTAAAACCTGGGCTCGAGAAGACCTGTAAAATTCAGATAGTAACTTAAGAGACAGATGATGTTGTGCGACACTGATGGGCAGGCAATGTTATTAGATGTCTCCCATAAGATTACATTTGTAAAGGATAATCTTACTGTTTATTGAGTACCTACCACGTTCCTACCAGGCATTTTACATACAGCTCTGATTTACACAGCTTACCTTCCAAGGCAAGTTTTATTGCCCCACTTTGCAGTTGAGGAGGATAGAGCTCAGAAGGGTTGAGTGACTTTCCAAATGTCACACAGTGAACAAGAGTTACTACCTGGATCTAAATCCAAGTCTTTCTAACATCAACACCCATGCTGTTTCATGACATCACACTGATGAAATGCCTAAGAAAGCCTGACATTTAGTAAGTACTCAATAAATGTCAATTCCCTTCCCTCATCATGGCATTCTGACATCATTTTCCTACCACCTGCTGTGTTTGCATTAAATGATGCAGTAGTTCTTATATTATTTCATTCATGGTGACACCCACATAAAAGGCTCTGGTATACCTCCTGATGTATAAAAATATAAATAAAAACCCCGACTGCCCTTTCAGCCATGCTGGAAGCAAAGGTACAAGTCAGGAAGAGTCTGATGTCAACGTCAGGGAAGGTCCTCTACTGGCAAGTATGTGATACCGGAAAGACATCTGCCAACATACATTCCCAGAGTCTGTGGCCCATGTCTTGACATACTGAACCAGAGACAGGAGGACACCAATGATGATGCAATGTCAGATGGCAAATGGGAAGAAGAGAGGATTGGGAAACAGTAAGGAGGCACTGGCAGAGGGAGCAAAGAGGCTTGGTGCTTGCATCCAGGCTGTGGCTTAACAAGTAAAAAGGCTGTACCTTCGCAGCCACGCTCGATCTGTCCACTCCGATGGAGGGCATCGTTGATAAGGTCTGGCAGACGCCCGTTCAAATCCACAGATGCCAGACAGCCCTGGAAGCCATCCCGGGAAGCCACCAGCTTGGGAAGGTTGCTATACATGCCTTGGGCCAGACCCGCCATGTAGAGGTCACCTGGATAGGAAAGCGAGTAGTGAGAGCCGATGAGTAAAGGGTAGGGAAACCAGACTCAGCTAGAGCCAAGGCACAGTAGACGATCTCATAGGTAATGGTGACAGAGCTGGGGGAGAGGGAGGGAAATGGCACAAACAACTAATTACCAGAGTCCCTATAGTGTAGAAAGAAGAAACTCACATTGCTTGTGTCATTCATTTTCTACGTGCCATCTCACAAATTTTCATTGCCATATTCAGTCCATGAGGTAGATACTGTTCCCATTTTATGAAGAAGTAAAGATTAACAAGATTTCCAACAAAACAACCATTTACCGAGTGCTTTTTATGGGCTTGTCACCAATACTATGTGGAGGATTTTACAGACATTATCCCATCAAAACTCGTAACAGCCCATAAAGGTAGTAACAATTATTGTCCTCACTTTGCAAAAAAGTATAGAGAAGCTGAACAAGGCTAAGAAATTTTACCAAAGTCAGCCAGGCAGTAAGTTATTCAGCGGAGATTTCAAAACTGCACCACCTCCTCTGTATTAGGATGTCCCCGTATGCTGACATCCATCACCTCACACTCAGCCCCTGCGTGCCCAAGATTTACAGAGAAAATGAACCATCCCTCGGGGAGCGACTTAAGTAAAAACTGCATTTTGGTATCATTCAATGTTGTTAAAATAGGATATACATGAGGTCTCAAATATGCCTGGCACCCCTAACCCGCAGTTTGTCTCTGCGAACAGCCCTTCAGTTGTAAGACATGATCTAAAGGGGCCTGGGTGGCTCAGTCAGCTAAACGTCTGACCCTTGGTTTCGGCTCAGTCTGTGATCTCAGGTTCATGATCTCAGAGTCATGATCTCGGGATCCATGACATGGAGCGTGGTGTTGGACTCCGCGCTCAGCAGGGAATCTGCTAGGGATTCTCTCCCTCTGCACCATTCCATCCCTACACATGCTCATTCTCACTCTCTCTCGCTCTCAAATTAATAAATAAATCTTAAAAACAAAACAAACAAATAAACAAAAAAAAAAAAACAGAAAGAACTGCTCTACAAAGGATAAACTACTTTACAAGGTTTACCTTTCAAATCCAGATTTTTGGCCCCGTTGATAACCTGAGTGACCACCTTAGTGTCCACTTTCAGGCTGTGGGTGTTACTGTTGTCCCGGGTGATGACGACATTGTGCCACTGGTTGTCATTCAGGGGGCGGTCACTGTTGCCTTTGATCACGTTGGGACCATTCCCAAGGTCAAACACGTAGTGTATGTACCTGTGAGTAACAACCACCACCCCGTGAGTGGAGATCCCCTCAAGTAGGTGAACAGCAACGTGCAGATAACGGAGCCTGAGGGCTTCCCATCCCCCACGCCAAGCTGGCATCATGCAGGAATAATTACGGTTTGATCTAGGATTCCAAGAAGAGTCACAGCCTGTTCTGTCAGACTTCACTTTAATTCCACACTTACAAGGTTCACTTCTTTCCCACGATCTAAAAATCCAGAGCCACAAAAGTAGTACAGGTGGTACAACCCCAACCACTAGGGGGCGGCATTTAAAAATCAGTGGATTGTGGATCTGGTTTTGGGGGGTTTGTTCTAGTTTTTGTTTTTATTATTTTCCAACACATGGTAGTAAAATATCTTGCAGAAAGAACAGCATTTAAAACTGCGCATATAGGGGCACCTGGGTGGCTCAGTGGGTTAAAGCCTCTGCCTTCGGCTAGGGTCATGATCCCAGGGTCCTGGGATCCAGCCCCACATCGGGCTCTCTGCTCAGCAGGGAGTCGGCTTCCTCCTCTCTCTCTCTGCCTGCCTCTCTGCCTACTTGTGATCTCTGTCTGTTAAATAAATAAAAAAAATCTTTTAAAAAAATTGCACATATATGGGCTAACGGCCGTGCTGAAAGTATCTGTATTTCATTTCTTCCTATAGATCTGGTGGTTGGGAAAAGCACTGCCCGGAGGGCACTATAGAGAGGATATACACTCTATCCTCTTTTTGGAGAAAAAAAAAAAAAAAAAAAAGGTCATATTTACAAAAATGACCATCTTTCCTATAGGTTTAAAGGACTATATTTAGTAAAAAGTCTGATAGGATTGGGTTAGTGGAGAAGATCTTTAAATAAACTAATGAATTTCTCCTCCTTCCAGCCCTAACCATTACATAGGCTGTTTTTCATCAACGAGGAGGAGAGCAGTTATTGGGAAGAGAGGGTGGGGAGCGGAACGGACGCTTTTTTTTCACGTCCACACGTTAGGTCGAGCTTGAGCCGAGATGCCCGGTATAAACGATGTGATCTCTTCCACTTACCCCTTGACCAGCTCAACTGCAATGAAGTCATTGCCGTCGCCGCTGTTGAAAAGAATGAAGCCGTCAGCTGAGGTGGTCTTGAACTGGAAGAAGAGGTGCATGGAGGTATAGGCCTGGAGCGTGGCCAGGCTCAGGTAGCTGCTCTTGGTCTTGAAGGTGACGGGGTCAGCGATAATGTTCCTCAGTCCAAAACGAGCCTTCAGTTCGCAGTAATCGATGTCGCCATTTTTGCACAGGTCAATGTAGAGCAGGCCATTGAACATGAGGCTCTGTAAGTGGCCAATGAAACTGGACGGGACGACGGAGATGTAACGTTTCTCTGTCATGATTCCGGTCTCAATATTGTGGAATTCCAAGCGGGTATGGTCCCCCACCATCGTACCTATGAACGTCACAGAGGAGATACACACATGTTATCATGTTTTGTCACAGCAGACTTACTGTATCTTTTACGTTTACATTTAGTTCCAGGAAACAAAATGCTCCATATAGTACGGAGCTGAGGAGACCTCGGTCAGAGGGTAGACTCCTGGCTGGGCTGAGTTCTGTGCACTGCGGCCCGTGCTCTCCATGCAGCTACTCAGAACATCCCAGCATATAAAAGAGAATATGAGATCATGGATAACTCAGGTTGAAGGATAGACCGATTCGTTTTCTCCATTCAGGAAACAATTAGGTACAAATGCATACTATAGGAAAAAAAAAGTCTTAATTGCCCCAAACCTTGTAAAGACACAACAAACAAGCACAGAGCATTCACTACCAAATGCTTCGTGATATAGTAATTCACCATCAAGTACTTGTGGAAAGATTCTATGGTAGCACATAGGTTCATTTATTTCTGACCAGCAACTGTTGGTTTTTCTGGTAGCACCCCTAATTTCCCCTTGAGAAGCTACCCTCCCTACTTTACCTTAAAACCATCTGGGTTGGCCGTAGCTGATCCTAACCCAGCTCTTGAAGTCATCAGCCTACCCAGCCTGGACCATCCAACATTAATTTATCCCCTTAGCTACAGAGTATGGTCTACGAACTAACAAGGTTGTCTGCAAACTTTAGCACACCTCTGAATCACACGGACGGCTTCTTAATACACCATTTCCTATGCCCCGCCCTCAGAATTTAGCATCCAAAAGTCTGGGGCATGACCTGAGAACATGCATTTCTATTATATTCCAAGGTGATGCTTATGGAACTGTTCTAGGGACCACCCTTAGAACCAAGGGATCAGTAGGAACAAAAGCTTAGAGTATTTAGTAGTCACTCAATTAAGTCTAGCAATATTCAGCTCCAGGGCTTTTGCGAGAACACCTACGAGAGAGGCATTCTTTGTAAACAAGGCTTGTTGAAGGGGTAAGAAGAGAGCTCAGAGCTACTGGAAACCATGTGATAACCACAGAAATTGGCCCAGGAGAAAGCCAACCCAGAAGCCAACCACAAAACAGAGGGAAACCGTTTCTCCAGAATGGTACCATTTGAAGGTCCGGATTCAGCAGCCAAAGCCAGGCTTTTAAAAACTAGATGGCAATAGATTCCCTTCTGTGCTTCAAGCACTTAAGATGGGTGTCTGACATTTGCAACTAAATGATCTCCAGCTGCTACAAATGAACCAGTAGACCTTTCATGACTTACCTAGACTTTTTCTAGGCTTACCTAGAAAAAGTGAATGAGGCAGGAGGTCATGAAGGGGGCTTGAAATAAATACAAGAGAGAATGGAAATTTTAATAACAAAGTCAAGGAGGGGCGCCTGGGTGGCTCAGTGGGTTAAAGCCTCTGCTTTGGGCTCAGGTCATGGTCTCAGGGTCCTGGGATCAAGCCCCGCATCTGGCTCTCTGCTCAGCAGGGAGCCTGCTTCCTCCTCTCTCTCTCTCTGCCTGCCTCTCTGCCTACTTGTGATCTCTCTCTGTCAAATAAATAAATAAAATCTTTAAAAAAAAAATAACAAAGTCAAGGAAACCAGCATTAGTATGGTCAGAGTAGAAGGTGGCTCCCCCAATATTTATATGGGCAAATCACTGCAATTTAACCAACCATGTCCTGAGGATACCCCAGCCCTGAAGGAAGGACAGGGAGAATCCCTCCTCCTACCCTCTTCTGTTGTCTCCATTCACACTGAAGAAACTCCACTAGCAAGGCACTCCTAGCATCTCTACTCCCTCTGTTACAGCTTTCCAGAGGTAAGGGAGTGACATAATCTGGAAGGTTAAGGAAACTACCGAGAAATTGTATTTCCATAGCTCAGCCCCCTGGTACTTCCTGTTTCTCTCTAGGGGAGCGAGCTGTCTTCAAGAAACACCCAGCATGCCCCCACCCAACCCACAGCACGGGTGTTAGAGGAGCAAGTCTTGCTTCAATGGAGCAGGACTTGAATTAGGACCTGAGCCCTGAATGAGTGACTGTTCAAGTGGTCAATTCCCACTCTGAAATTCAGTAGATGTTAAGCACAGTTTTCCATACCACTGTTTGCACTAGCAAAGACAATACTTGAGTTTTACCAGCCTCGCATTTGTTTTGTTTTGTTTTGTTTTTCCCTCTATTGGTATTGGTGTAGAATTAAAGTAACAGGAAAAAAAGAGAGAGAGAGAGGAAGGGATTGTATTTTCTCAGGTCCCTGAAACTTCAGTGCCCGGGAGAACCAACCTGATCTCACCTTCAGATGTTCATTATTAATGTGATTTCTCTGAGATCTGATGCAGGGAACTGTTTATAAGCACAAGAATCAGATTTATGTTTCATGAGCTTCTATGTGGTGTTTTGACAACTAGTGACAAATCATTCGCTTAACGTAAGCAAAAACAACATAATGGTGTCGGTTAAATTAAAGATAAAATTGTAACAGAACAAAAATAAAAAATGTAACATAAATCTGCTAACAACTGAATAGGAGAACTACTGTATAAAATTACTTAGTATTGAAAATCGGGCTCGTCATGAAAATGAAAACTAGCATAACCTAAACTCATGTGCCCTAGAACAGGGAAGTGACTTAAACAAATATTCACAGTCGATTAGCCTACAGCTGTTCAGACAGGGCTGAGACCTGGGCTGGAGAATGATGGGGAGGGAAAATGAGAGCCAATCTCCTTGGGGACCCGGGAACTAAACCATGATGATGCTGGGAGCCATGCTAATTCTTATTTTAAAAAAGAAGGAGAAGGAGGAGAAGGAAGAGAAGGAGAGGGGAGGGGTAGGAGAAAGAGGCAACCAGCAATGACAACTAAGAAGTGATAAAGGGGTGATCCTTGGTGAAAACTGGGATTCCAAAAGAAACCAGAAAAGGCAAATTTAAAGTCAACCGGGAGCTTTTAGAAAAATTATAGATAAATTGGACTCTACAGTTGAGGGGTTAGGAAATTCTGCTCACTAGAAAATGGATTTCATAAAGCAATGAAGTCGGGGCACCTGGGTGGCTCAGTGGGTTAAAGCCTCTGCCTTTGGCTCAGGTCATGATCTTAGGGTCCTGGGATCGAGCCCCACATCGAGCTCTCTGCTCAGCAGGGAGCCTGCTTCCTCCTCTCTTCTCTGCCTGCCTCTCTGCCTACTTGTGATCTCTCTCTCTGTGTCAAATAAATAGATAAATAAAATCTTTAAAACATAAATAAATAAAGCAACAAAATCACGTACAGTGTTGACAGAAGAGACTGAAGAAGGTTAAGAGGGAGGAAACTAACCATGGAATTTCAGAGCACAGCCCATGGACACGGACTGATTTAAGGTTTTAGGATGAGTCCCAGAGCCTCAACTAGAAGTTGCAGTGGGGGTGGGGGAGGGGTGGGCAACATGGGGCCAAATTAGAAAAGGGACTGCTTCTCCAGGTACTAAAGGAACTCACTTGGCTGTGGATGGAGGGCCCCCCAAAAGCATACTATTGCACCTGGAGAAAGCATTAAAGAGATTGCCTGAAGTCTGAACCTTGTGCCAAACCAAGCAAATAAACATACAGATATTTAGATATATAGATATATATCTGTGTATCATCTAATCCATATCAGTAACTGGGAATCTTTCCTCATCTGCCCCCAATGCTATCTATAGACTAAAACTCCTTTCCGCTCAAGGGGCAAATACATACATACTTCACAGGAGCTGCTTTCGAATTTCAGAGGGAAGAGGAGTAGTTTGGGAGAAAGATGATTAAAAAAAAAAAAAAAAGCAAGACTACTGAATATTGTTCATGTGCCAGGCACTGTACTAGGCACTTCATAACCACCAAACGTCCTTATCACAATTAATAGGTATCATTATCTTGCTTTAGAGAGGAGGGCATGTAGCTCAGAGATGTGAAGCCATGCGATCAGAGTTCACACAGGTGCTAAGTGGTCGACCCTCTAACTGAACCCAGGTGAGCTCAGTTCCCAAGCCCCCATCTTAGCTTGTACCCAACACAGCAGAGATAAAGTTTGACTTATTCCTTATGTGATGGTGGGTGGAATTTAAATGGTGCCATTTCTGCTGAAGTTGGTGGGATGGGCTCAAGCTCCGTCCCAGGAGCCAAGCACCATCATGTCCCTCCATCTAAGTCATGTGTTATACATCCAGCACCTTCCCTGGAACAGCCGTGTTGCCTTGACTCCTACCCTCACATTCACCTCTTAATTCCCTGATGGTCAACAGCAGTTTGCACACCAGCCCTCACACTGCTAATGTCTGTGGAGAACATAAACCTGTAGAAAAACTGTCCAAGTTCAAGCTGTAACTTTCCTACCAGGCATGCATTGGACGAGCATATAGACTCTGAGGCTGTGCCACCTGGGTTAGGCAGCTTTTCTGTGCCTCAGTTTCCCATCTATGAAATAGGTACGACGTTTTCAGAATTAGCTGTATCAATTCAGAAAAACTACTTAGAATGGTGCTTAGGGCTTAAATCGCTAGCTATTAATTATGCATCACGCTTCTTTTTCTTCTTTCTCTGAAATGCATTAATAATTTTCCAGTATTTTGATTATTTGTCACCCTTTCCTAGAACACAATCTCTTTTTAAGTAGAAACCACTTCTCGCCTCTTCTGTATATCCTGTAGTATTGGGCAGAGGGGCCTGATGATAGCAAGCACCCCTCACATGTGAGGAAGGAGGCTGTAACTGAGACAAGTGCTTTGGAGTCAGAGTTTGGATCATTGCCATTTCTACACATGAAGTTCCTCATCAACACTAAAAGCTTAGCAAAGAAATAATGGCAAAGACTTAGAGGAGGCAACTTGGCCTCCTACGGCTTCCAGACACAGGGAAGGAAGTTAAGAAAATGAAGGCTTATAAAGTTTCAGCAAAGGATGCATATTTTGCCCACAATCCTCCAGTTCCACCACTCCCACACCCTCCTCTCCATAATACCAAAATTTTCCAAATGTATATGCTGTAAAATGTTCTAATAATAATAAAAATAATAATGATGATGATGATGAAAGCTCTGGAGCCAAATAAACTTGGCAAACACTTCACATGTGATTATCAAGGATTAGCAATATGTATCAGCATAATGAACGCTCCAGTCTTTAAGTCTTCACTAAAAGTCTTGCAATAAAGAAGACCATTGCATTCTGTTGAACCTAACATTTGCAAACTCCACCTCATCATGTCTTTTTATTCATGAGAGGAACAAATCTTCCTCAGAAAATGACTTTTTTACAGCTTGTAGGTGCTGTGTAGAGTAAGTGACAGACAAGGAAGTCAACATGAACCAGAGAAGTCAAAAGAAGGATGAAGCTCTGTTGTAGCAAGAAGCTGGTACACTCTGGGTGGAGTGGCGGGGGTCCTGCAGCATTAGATCCCAGTTCCAAGGAGCATAACCCAAGGGTTCTTTTAATTTACTTGTGATAATAGAAATCCAACTCAATCAATCAATCCATCAATCTTTATTAACTGTAAACTGAACTTAATACCTTTCCAGGAATACACTGTATTACAATAAACGAAAACCACCAGGCCAAGGACTATTTCTTTCCTTGCCATTGATTATGAGTGTGACCTCTTCTTTGCATCATTTCTACAAACTAGCTGAAAATTTGACACCCTAGGGGACCTTAAACAGCATGAAAGGGATTACTAAATAAGCCAATAAGACACTACTTAATAACCTGAGGACTGTGTGGTATTTTAGTTTCATTGCCTGATTTTATGACTTCTGTGAGCTAAAATTAAAATTCCCAAACCCATTATCACTGTAAGAAGCAATCCAAGGTTGTAGCTCATAAGCAAAATAGCGCTTTTCTTCTCCCAGATTTCTTTATCCTTATGGCTGCTCTTTTCCATCAGCAGTAAAGCAGGGGATAAGGGTTGAAAATGAAAGAGCTTCATTAATTTCGAATATCAAATTACTGAATGACTGGGGCCTTCATGGTGTAGTCCTGCTTTTTAATTATTAGCGGTAAGAGAAAGCACACTTTATAATTACCTTTATTCTAAAGTTTCTATAAAAGAATCATGACCATGGGAGGCAATGCACATTACTGTACCCTCAGTCCTGCTGTTCTTTACTACTACAGTTTGGAGGGTTTGCAATTTCCTGGGAAAATAAAAGGGATTCGCTGCGCGGAGAGATTGGGGCGAGGTCGCCATCTAGTGGCTGCTATTCAAAAACATGCTGGCAACAACCGTGGGGCTGCTGGGCTCAGCCCTTAGGAGCAAGCAAGGGATATACCACGCGCAGGCTCCCCCGTCTGCTTTAATAGCCAATGGGGATGTCTTGAATAATTAATTCGGGGATGGCTGTGGGTTCTAAACCATATAACCATTTTTACCTCTCTTTGCTTACATTCATTAAGCAAAGCTAATTTACCCTTTCAGGCGGGCAGAAGAGTAACCTTACCCCTTACTATGTACACACAACAGGAGAGTTTTAGATACTTAAGATGGCTCTGTTTGACTTCATTTTTGAGGAGAGAGGGGCGAGTGCTGCAGTCTTCACTAAAATGTACTCCTCACCTCACCCTAAGGCATCCCTTTGTATTTTCCCATATCTTTAAACAAACCATTTTCTTAAGATGGATTGTGAAGCCCAGTGATTAGCCTGATTTGATGACATCACACAGACATGGATTTGGAGCTTAATTACACAGCTCCTTGTACAGGCCATGCCCTCTTAAGTAAAATAAGAACAATGATCTTGCAAGGCAATGGGGAATTACAGATGTAAGAAGAATTACAGATTTAATTAAAAATCTGTAATTTACATGTAAGACAGTTATAAAATATAATATAAAGTTATAAATATAAATATAAAGTTATAAAATATAAAATAACATGTAAGGCAGTTATCCCAGTATCTAATGCCTACTGGGCACTGGATATATGCCTCCTGCTCTTCTCCTATCCATAAACTCTTCTCATCTCTGCGCGCACACGCACACGCACACACACACACACACACACACACACACACCTGCCTCTCTCTCTCTCTCTCTCTCTCCTACCTGCACGCTATATACGTGACTCACTGTAATTCCCGACTCCAGAAGGATAGCAGTCCAGGCTCTTGAATATAAAATTAAATTATAGGACCCCCAAACTGCAGAACCTTTAAGCTGGAGAGGGCCTTAGCAGCAATAGAATTTCAAGTTTAAAAATGAGGAAATGAGGAAAAAAGTTTATTATCTTTTATTATCTACCCCAAGGGCAAAAAGTGTTTTAGTTACAATGACTGTATTAAATCCCAGGGATCCTGACTCTACCTTGACTGTCTTATTCACAGAAGACTCTAGAGAGAGTTTATGCCATCAACTTCAATTGGCAAGGATCAGACGTGGTAAGTGGCTTTTCCAACATGTGGCAGAAAATTCACATCAGGGCCCAGATCTCCTGACATCCCCAGTGCTCTACATGATACTCCATGGTACCTCCAAGTTGTCTTCTCCCATATGGACAAAAGTTCTGCAGAACAGAAGTACACCGCCCTGGAATCTCAAGGAGTCTAGACTTATTTGGACACAACATGGACGGTGCCCTCTCTCTTCCACCCTGGACCTCATCAGATGACCCACCCAATTTTGAGCTACCTTCAGAAGACACTCCTGATTTCTCTAACCCAAAATGATAATCTTCTCTTCTGCCTGGCCATGACTATATTCTTACCCACCCATGTTAGAATCTGATTACATACTTTTTGTCTTATTTTCAATGCCTCTGTCCGATATAATCAACTAGATTGGTTTATTCTTTGAGGAAACAGATAAGCTCTTGTGCTTCCTTCTTACCTTCTACATCCTTAGCACTCTGCTGATGTGTACCACGCTCTCAAGAAACACCTATCACTTACGTGAAGCTCTGAATGTTCCTTTACCTATGGATGGTTCCATTCGTTTATCCACTGCCCACCTAGAAGGTGAATTCCACCAAGCCAAGGACTTGCCTATTTATTCACCTCCCTATTTTCAGTGCCTTCTGAAGCAGTGCTCCCTACAGGGTAGGTACTCAATTAATAACAAATAAATGATGACATAAATGAATAGTTATTCAGACCCTTCTAAGTAGCCTGTAGTGCTCTCAGTACTTATTTTTACCTGTAATGCTCTGAATTTCTGGTTGACCCATCTCCCTCTCCTAGAGAGTAAGTCACTTATTGAAAGAAAAAACTGGCCATTGGGAAGATGATTGATAAGTGATTTTTGAATAAATGAATAATAAAGGAGCCACAGATCTCTACATCTACTTTCCAGACACATATTCTACGCCTAAAGAGAGAGACCCATCAACATACAATGACAGTAATGGCTAAGTTCTATAAGACCGATCAATGAAAAGGGATTACGAAAATACAGAGGAAGACCTAAGAAGTAGGCTTACTTGAGCTCTTCAACAAGAACATGTACATGACTTCTGTTAAGTAAAATAAAATGTGTTTCAAAAAATCCTTTGCTCACTGAATGACCAAGAGGATGATGAGAGTGAAAAAAAAGAGACACATTTCCCTACGTAGAGATGTACTCACCTTCAGCCACATCATCGTCCACAGTTAACTTAAGGCTTTTTCCTCTCCGCACCACCCGGACGGTGTGCCATTCGTTGTCATTGAGCTTCTGCCCCGCGTACAGGGTCTCGGGTCCTTTGCCTAAGGACGATGGTAAGTGTCAAAATTAGAACTGATTCTGAAAGTAGCAATCATGGTATCAGAACTGTCAAAGCCACACTGGTGCACAGAACCCAGGAGTGTTCAAGGAATCATACATGCGCCCTGCCACAAAGCCCTTCCCAGTGTCACTGCCCCAACAGGGTGTTCCACAACTGTCCCCAAATGCAAAAGTCTCAACTCATATGGACACTGGCAAAGCAGTGAAAGAAATATGTGCCCTCCTTTGTCTACAGAGAGAAAGTTCTAAACCACCAAGGGCAGTAAGTGAACATTTATAAAAAACAGTAGTCAGCTGTCATTTTGTTTCCCAAAGTCTTAGATTTCAGATGAATTTCTTGAAGATACAGGAAATTCATCATTCGTTTTCAGAATAATTTGATCACTTAGGCATAATACACCAGTCTGGCTTTGGAGTATCCATCAATTGGATGAGAAAAGCGTTCTGTAATATATACGCTTAACTTGATATTGCCATTAACCCACAGTCCTACCAGGATACAGTAACCATAGAAATCGAAACAGAAATCATCACAATAAAAATGTTGAGGTCTAACCCTGCTCCTGATAATTAATGCTCCTGAAGGGAATGTGAGGGGCCCCCAGACTTATCCCATTGTTCATCATCTTCCAAAAAGATCTCAATATCTAAAAAAGTGAAATAATGGAAAATTCCAAAATTGAACCCTTTCAGGTCTAAAGAATGTTCAGGAGAAAGTGCCACCAGATACAGAAATAAACCAACTTGTCTCAAAGGATCCAGGATCAAAATGCTCAAGAGGATGTGCAGGTGTATGCTAGGAAAAATCAAGTTCAACAAGGAATTACAGTACTTAGAAGCCAAAGATGACAAGATAAACACTGAGGCATTATAAGAATTTGGTTAGTAATGGGGGGAGAATGTGATATTTTGCTCACCATTGAACTGAGATGTAAATTTAAAAGACAAAGGAGATTACATAAACCAGAGAACTTAGACCAAGTTCCAAGTTCATTACGTGGCTAGCTGTGCAGAAGGACCCCGCATGAGTCTTCCTAGATTGGTGTAGAAAGCCCTATCTCTGGAAATAACTTGGGAAAAAAGATGAACATGTAACTAGCCAATGTATCCTTATGTTATTATGCTTCTGAAATATTTCAGCATACAGCTGTATCCAACATTTAAGAATACAGTAGGTGCTGTAATGAGCACTTACTGAACAACTGATACATGCATAGGTATTTATTTCTTTGGAAACCATCAACTAAGGTCAATACATTTTTATTGAACTAATTTTGAGAGCTCTATTCTATAGCTTTGACTGGCCACTCCACCCCCTCCTCTGCCTCCAAGACTCCAAAACAGTGTTGTATACATTTAGGGAAGAAAATTTTAAAAATAGTATCACTTGGGTAAATATCTTTTAAACTGGACCCGTTTAATTCTTAATTATTATTGTTGGTACTGAATGCTCTTTTTAAGAGTAATGATGGAGTGTCTTGGTGGCTCAGACAGTTAAGCAGCCAACTCCTGATTTTGGCTCAAGTCCCAATGTCAGGATCCTGGGTCCAGCCACGAGCCCCATCAAACTCTGCAGGAAACACACTCAGCAGGAATCTGCTTCAGGATTTTTTCTCTCTCCCTCTGCCCCTCCCCTGGCTCACTCAGTTTCTCTAAAATAAATAAATAAATAAATAAATAAATAAATAAATAAATAACTCTTTTTAAAAAAAGAATAATGATAGCAGTTGAAGTTTGGAGAAATTTTTTTCTTGAAAAATAAAGGTTTTCAAAGTTAAAAGTTCTCTTTTAATTAAAATGTACACAAGTCATTTATATCTTTTTTTTTTTAGAACGTATCTATATCTCAAGTGCAATGTAAATGAACAAGAATCCTAAGAAATCAATGAAGAAATTAAAAGTGGACCGAATGTACCCAAAATTGGGTATGATGCCATGAGATCAATGAATCTGAGGGGGAAAAAATTCCATGACAAACCATTTTATATTCAATTTTAGCTGTTCCTTGTGAGTATGCCTGTCTTAATATTATCTAAAGCCTATACACTATAATAGAATTTTTCCTACATCTCACCTCATTAGACAACGTTGTTCATTATCTCATTAAATTCAGGTCTAAGATTGATGTAACAGTCGCCTTTACAATGGCAAACTGTGCAGGCATTGAGAGAAAATGGGCCACATCATGTGGATGCTTTGAAGCAAGAACAGATGTTCTCAGAAGAAACAAATCTGCCTTTGTTTTTTTGTGTGTTCTTATCCTCTTTATTCTACATGCAAATGTTCCAATAAGAGAGAGGAATGTGAAGAAAGACATAGGAAACACTGGCTACGGAGGTAGCACTGTGACAAAGACAGGCTATTCAAACACCTGTAGGTGGCATCCACTCTTCAGGCAATGTTTGTGCATCACTTCGTTTTCACAATTGGGGACAAAGTGAGAGGAAGAAATACTAACACCAACACGGTCATAAGTAGCGACATGGCCACAATGGTGTCATATTAGTCATCGGTGTAAAACGAGCTTTGCAATCAGCCCAGTGTGTTTTAAATGCTGGGTGGCATTTTGCAGGTGCTTGGAATTTTCTTGTGTCAAATTCAGACAAAAAATATTTAACTGTCCTTTTGACTCTAAAACTTCAGGATGTGATGGTCTATGACCAAACAGGTGGGAAAAGACCTGAAACCCCTTCATGCCCTACCACTTGGCTACAATTGCTGTCTCCAACCCCAATAATTCTCATGACTCTGCCAGGAGGAAAAAAAAAAAAAAATTCTATACCCATACCATTACAATGGTAGAGAAATGAATATTATCCAATATTCATTTTCAAGCAATAAATACAGAAATCCCAGCGAGCATCCAAAAAAGTCTCTGCCTCCAAAAGTGGAAAGTCAATGGCATTTATCTTTAATCAAGCCAAAAGGTCAATGCATCCCTACCAGAGAGAAAGTGATTTTAAACGCAGCTGGAAATGTAGGCAAACAGAGGGCAAGAACAAATCTAATTTGTAGCCTAGGCATACAATGGGATTGGTAAGTGATACAAGATGTAGATATAAGCCGAAAGCTAAAACATACACATTGTTAGGTCTTCAGAGAAGGAGGATTTAAGTCTAGGCAAGACTTCCCCCGCAGAGTCAAGCATCAGTAAAACAATGAATGTGAAGACAAGGATTAGTTAGACCAAGAGGAGAAACTTCCTTTTTTTTTAAAGTTGCAATTTAAAATAGAACTGATGGGAATTTAATTTCTAAAAATTAAAAGGAAAAAACCTCAAAGCTACTTATTTTCCTACATTGTCCTTCTTTTTTGTAGCAGGGAGAAATGGGATCTGTGATTCAGTACCTACTGGATATATGAATTAGAGGGATGCTTCCTTAAGCTGTTTACATAGTAACTACTGATCTCACACACACAAAAAGAAATCAGCATTTGATTCCCTTTAGGCTGCTTAGGTCATCACCATTTGATCTAAATACAGGAAGCGAAAAACTTATCTGAGACCCTATAGTTGAATTTCCCAAGTAACGACCTCTGTGACTGGAGTAAAGAAGCAAAATCCCAGCTGGAGACTTCCGGGACGCAGAGGTTGGTAGAAGCGAGTGTTCAATTGTTTACTACCACTGGAAAAAGAGCCTTTAATGAATCCTTTGGGCGATACCACCAAATTCCCACTCTTGACCTCGTCTCACTTCAAACTCACTTGGCATCATCTCTTAGTTAAGACTGGTCTCACCAACGATGGTCTAATTTTCTGATGAATGTGGATAGAGGAGGAGATGTCACGGATGAATAATTCAAGATTATTTTCTTGACCTATCCCTACAGGAACCCTGTGGAAGGCTTATTTCTTCCAGAAGCCAGAACTAAGAGTAAAATCAAAGTGAAAAGTTAGGAGAAAGACATTCTTTGGGAGAGGATTCATTGCTGATTGCTTGGAGGAAGATGACACTTAGATGTTAGCAGATCATTCCCTCTGGGGGGACAGGGAATAGGAGCATGTGGGAAAAAAGTCTGTATTTGGGGATCCCTAAAGGCACACACTTTCACAAGATGGACTTTGGATCTTGAAGGTTTTGAACCTACTGCGTTGTTTTCTTTTTACATTTGCGTTGTTTTTGTTGTTGCTTTTTGGTAGACTCCTCAGAGCACATGAATTTGCCATTCCCCCCAGGAGCAATGTAACCAGCACAACTATAAGACACCCCAATATGCATTCGTTTGTCAACAAATTTCTAAAACCTGCCCAGACCAACGAAACCAGAAGGTTTTGCTCATACACAGGGAGTAGAAATTCCTTCCATCTGCCACAAAGTATGATCTCCAAAACTGGGTGGCTAAGACTGGAAACTTACTTTGCTTGGGGTCGGGAGGCAGGGGCAGGGATTAAGGGCACACTATCTATACCACAATCACTTTGCTTTACCTGAACATCTTTCTATTTGTGCAGGAGAAAGAAAGAAACAACAACTTGATTTCCCTTGGTTAGCTATGTTTCACATGAATCAAAATTTCTACAATGCATACAAAAACGTGAAATTCACTCCCTTAGAAAGGTATAGAAAAAGGCATGAGATTATACATCTAAATGGCATGATAAAGAAATACTCGAAATGACTGTGTTAGCTTTAAAGAACACCAAAAATATTTAAAAAGAGAAAACTTACCTTCATTTCCACCAGCACCCTAGGTAGGCCAGCTGAACTAATACAAACCTTTTAATAAGCCTAGAGCACTGTGTATTTGATCAGTCTCCCCACCACCCCAAACACCCCCAAGAGAGTAGATTAGGCAAATAATAGCAGGGGTGAGTAAGGGAGTGGGACTACAGACTAAGGAGGGTGACCCAGAAATAGGAAAGAAGCACCTCATTTTCTGTCCAAAGCAATTTCAGGTTCTAGTTGTTTTCTTGGGGCTGACAACCCAACAGAGAGTAAGAGGTATTTTGTTTTTATAAACTCGGTTTTTCCCCCAAAAG